AAATCAAATAGGGCCAATTTGCACACACCTAATAAGTAGCATTTGTACATTCTGAGTAGTTGTGGGTTTAAAAAGAAAAGATAGAAAAAGAGCTTAATAAATCTCAAAAGTGGCTAATGCCAAGTGAAGTGATTATGCAAAGCTGTGGCTATTAATGACTGTAATGAATATTATTGGAATGTTGTTGGAAAAATCTAATTAAAATGTATAATCCAATTAAGAGCAATACAAAGCTTCTAAAATATACAGTACAACTTCTATAATAAAATGTGATATGCATAAAAACTAATATAACCTCTTACTATAAATAACATTGTATTGATGAACAAAACATAAGTGTTTGTTAAAATCTATTATATATTCAGCAGATCTATTCCTTGGAAATGTTTTCTGTTTAGTTTTAGATAGGTTTACTTCCATAACACCTCCATTATGCATGTGAGCTCAAGGTCAACTTTATTTATTTTTTTGCTAGAGTATAGACATCCAATATGTAAAATGGGATCTCATTTCACAATTTCATCAATTTTGTGCTTTCTTCAAAGTGAATATGCCTAAATCAACAAGAAACCTGAAATGGACTCTGTAAGTGAAAATGATTGAATGTAGTACTCTTTAAGGCATCAAGGCTCCTATTTCTTTTTTAATATCTGTTAAAAATATCAAAATTTAGTATTGTGCAATTCTTATTAAAACACATTTTGTTGCCTAGGTGAAACTTACAGCTTTGTTCCAGTAACTAATGTTATCATTTTGAATTAAAAAAAACATTAAGATCATCAATATTAGTCTTATGAATGGTAATTTTACTATGGGTTTTTGTTTGCTAACTTTGAAGCCAAATACAGAAATATAGTGGTGACATTATAAGGGTCATCAAACATCAGAACTGGATAGACATGTTTAAAATGCATATTTTCTACTTCTGATGAAACATTTTTCAATGAGATCCTTGTAATTTTCAGTGACATGCTAGTTGACAACATTATTTTTTTTTTTCTTGTTGTAGATTAGTTACCATCATAACACAGTAGAAATCCTTTCCGGTTGAGAACACAGGGCATAAGACTGGAGAAAACAAACAAACAAACAAACAAAAACATTGAGTCCAATTCCCTGCAGATGGAGGCAACAATATTATAAAATCCTTTCCATAAAAGCTAAGTGCAGACTTTCGGGAGGGTAACTCAGATTCAAAATGGCCACCCAATTTAAATTTAGCTCATCCTGCTGCTGACCTTACATTTTCAGACCCAGTCTCAGTGACTGGCAATCAGTCTAAACCTGTAACAGAATAGAAGTTTCATACATACAAACTGGTTTACAAATTGCAGAACCCAGTTTAAGATAAACCTGAATCTATGTAGTTATGAGACTCATTCAGTTTAGGTCAAACTGGTGCATGGAACTCCTGTCCATTTCCCCAGGGACAGGAAAATCCAAACACTGGCCCCAGCCCCAGGGTTACTCTCTTCAGTCCCCGCTTCTCCTGCTTTGGTCTACTTCCCCCCTTCCCCCAGCCCCTTGCTCCCCACTAGCCAGCACTCTCAACCCCTATCCCACAAGCTACTCTGGATGCAGCTGCTTTTATCAACGTTCACCACTGCCAGAGCAGAACAAGTAAGTCCTGGTGGGGGTAGGTGTGGGATGAATGGTGGTGTAGTTTCACATCGCTCCTGCCCCCCTACCCCTCGTGGATCATGCCTGCCCCCCACCCCACCCGCAGGTCATTCTTGCCCCAACGTCCCCTGGCAGACCCCTGATCTCCTCCAGCCTGTTTGACCCACAATCCCCCAGCTAGCCCTCCCAATCCTGACTTACCTGCTATGGGGCTGCCATTTTGAATTGATTGAACCTACCCCTAACACGCCCAAATGTCTGTACTTAGCCAAGCTAGTCAAGGTGCATCTTAAAATCACTTAGGTGCAGGCCAGACACCTATACAAAGGCTGTTCTGTAACATCATTTCATGTATGGTTAGAAACCTAAATTTCAGATTAATTTATTCATGGCCAATACCATTTTTAAGTAATTATTTCTCATGACAACATTGTGCTTCAAGTTAAATAGCTCTTTTGCCTTCCTTGATATTTAATCCTACAGGCCTGATGTATATAGAGACCAATCAGATCTCTTCTCAGTTTTCATTTTGTTAAACTAAACAAGCTAATCTTTTTGTTTATCTCTTCTTGTAGAATAGGTCCTCCATTTACCTAATCATCCCAGTTAATGCTTCTATGCAGATGCTTAGACTCCTGTTTCTTGAGTATATGTAATCTGAATCATACACTGTTTTCTAAACCAGGTTTTACCAGGGTCTTAGACTAGGTCTGCTTGAAATGTCTCTCCAAGCATTTTCTATGCTCATTTTTTTGTAATCAAAGTATATGCAAAATGCAACTAAAGGTGTATTAACAGCACAGTTTCTGTTTTAAAAAAATATTTTAAACTATCTCATTCTCCTTGATGCCTAATCGACATTTTGTAAAATTAAGGGATTTTTTTCAAAAACTTGAGGAATTTGAGCCAGTGAATGTTATCCTAAAAAAAAGACCATGACTATTCCATTAGTCTTTTTATGGGATGTGGGAAAGGAAATTAGAGAAAAATCTCAAAATGCAGCCAGAGATTTAACTGGAGTTTTATGTAAAACTGTACATTAAGTATATCACTACCTGTCAGACATGTACATTTCCTGAGAAACCCTTTTTTGCTGTAACAAAGAGAATCTATATGCTGGACTTTTCTCTTGGCATCCTGTTCACTTCTTTTCCCCTTACTGAATTATTGCTACAACTCTATCTTTTAGTTGGTTCAGTGTTATCTTGTAATGCATTTCAATGTCTCTTTCTACTTGTAATAGCTCTTTTTTCCTGCAGCCAGGTCTACATTTCCAAATAACAGTTTACTACTGAAACATAAGAAGAAAAATTGTGAAAACTGTCAGGATTCCAAATTTGATTTGCATCCATTTCACGCATAAATACTCATTCCATATTTACCAATCAAACTGTCATGTAAAAATAAGAAACAAGATCGAAGGATAGCAAAATAAATGCATCCATTTAGATTCTCTGAGGAAAACAACATAAAAGCACTAAATTTCAAATCTGGTTTGTGCACAGGTAGATTCAGGCAGGGTGTGGTGGTGTGATCTTGCTCCCCTTTTGGCTGTGGCACACATATACAATGAGTTCTACAGTCACCACCTGGTAAGCACCTGCCTGAGCTCCACTTGTGCAGTGAGGTCTATACTGAGAACATCAGCTGATCTGAGCCAGCTCTGGCCGGATCCTGTTTTTGCATGGTTCCAGAATCCAGGGGTTGGGCATTGCCACCGTTTGCCCTGTCCCTTCTCTAATTCTCTTGCTGAACTCAGTTGCAGGGGAAAGTAGGGGATGAATGGCTAACACCCTTTTGTGTTCTGGCCCAGTCACAGAGCTGGAGAAGTACTCTTACGTTTTTTTTTTTTTACACCACATAACCCTTGTATACATTAGGAAAATTGGAGTCTATAGTTAGATACCACGGTGCTCTGTAAGAGCATGTCCCCACAAGCATGTGTCGCTCCCCACAGTGCCGCATTCACCTCACTGCTATTTTGCAGCTCGGTGTTGCTGTTTTTTACACCAGGAGATCCTGATTTAAAAAAAAAAAAAAAAATCACTAAAAAAACTGGTGTGGAGCATGTGGCAGCAGTGTGTGCTGCAGAAAGGGAGCCTGGCCAACCAGAGCCACACTGGCTGCTGGCCAGGCTCCAAGACAAAGGTTCAGCACCATTATTGCCCTGGGAGGGCCCCAGGACCCTAGGTAAGGCAGTTGGGGCCAAGCTATGCTTAAAGCCTTGGAGGTTGAGGGTTGTCAACTGCAGGGCTGTGGAAAGAGGCTGAGCTTTCTCAGCCCCAAAGTTAACAAGGGGAGGGTTTCTTCTGTGACTTGACTGGAGCAGAGGATCCAACCAAGTCACAAACTGTCCATCGGGAGGTGGTGTGGGGAGGGGGCACTATGCATTGGAAAGTCAGGGGATAGCACTGGAACATCTATCAATCAGATAAGTGTGCAAGTGTTTGTTCTATGGGTAGATGATCAACTGGAGGAAACTTCTATGTTGTCAGACAAGGTAGAAGTTTCTACAAGAAGCCGCACTGTTGGTCTGGTAGACCTGTGATTCCACTGGTAGAAATATAATGCTTGTATGCACCCTAAACGTAGAGTCTGTACTGCTAATTGGGAATAAAAAAAATCACCACGATATTTTCTCATTACAGCAATAGTCTTCATAACTGTTAGAAATGTTTGAGCTTTGTGTGCATTCCAAAGGGCCAGGTTTTCAGTTATTTTCAGATACTGAGTTATGAAAATGTTCAGGTTAACGCTTTGTAGTATTTTCAGAAACCCTGAGGCCCATAATAGAAATCAACATAACTGAGATGCTTCTGAAGTAATATTTGAAAATGGGATTTAGATGGCTAAATTACTTAAGCCTGCTGAGTACAAAGTGTCCAACTAGCTGAAAAACCTAGACCTTAGCCTCTTATTCAGTTGCCCACTATGAAATATGATACATTCTCTTTCTTCTACCCATGTCAGAGTTACTGTGTGACAGTTCATAAGAGGCAAGGATTGCTTATGGCAATATCTTTTATTGGACCATCTTTATAGTTGGGATAGTTAGATAAACATTGGAATGCAAGATATTATTCAACGCATCTTTCAAACAGAAGAGTGATTAATATTTTTAAATTTAGAGCATTTTTTCCAATGCATGATCTAAAGCCATATTTTTTTCTTTCTATTTTATATACATAGCTCAGTTGTGTACAACATGCACACATCAAATTTGGTATATGTGCCTATATATAAAGTCAGAAGTTTACATCTCTATATCTAGAAGCTGTGTGTACTTCTTTGTGTCTCTAAACAAAAACAATAAAATCTCCCTTATTTTCTTTCATTATTCTGCTCTGCCTCCATTGATGACTCTAAACTTTTGACTCCAGACTGGCAATATGAGGGTAAGATGGCAAAAACTTCCTGAGCATTGCTTGTCTGTTATTCATTTTTATTTTCTTTACAACGTTATTAAAATTCTGTTCACTCTCTTTAATTAGATCCTTTTGTTGCAATTAAATTCCAATTAGTTTTGTTTCTGTTGTGAAACTTTAATTACAATTTATCCCTTTTTAATCACTCCTTTATGTTATTTCTTTTGGTTAAATTACCATTACGTTATCTCTGTCCTGAAGGACTACTTTTTCACATTGGTCCCAGTTGGTATAACTGAAGCAAGACATGAATAGGTTTATGGTGTAGTAAGTTAACTGTCTTGTGTCGTGTTGTGCTGTTGCCAGGACTTGGTGTGTACATTCATGACATGTAAAGTAAGTGCCATAACCAGTAGAAGATGCCAAAGTAACATTGGGAATATGTTGTGAACTGTGTATTCACAGGTGGAGCCAGAACCTAAGGTCTTTATTTAGGTCTTTCTCCACCAAATTCTCATATGCTTTAAAAAGAGTTTATCTGAATAAGAGAGAAATTCAAGCTTTTAGGTTTGAGTCCTTATGATAGTTATTAGCTTAGTATTTCAAGCTTACCTTGTTTGTTGATCGTGGTCTCAGTATAACTCTTTTATATATATGGAATATATTCTTGGTTTAGAAATAACTTCTGGTTTCATTTTTATAGACTGCAAGCTGGCCAGAACAGGTCCTCCAGCCACAATAGTTGCTATTGATGAAGAAAGTCGAAATGGTGAGTGTGACATTTTTTTCACTGCCACTGTGCTATATTATCCTTATCAATAGTGAACATTATTAAAAAGAGAACACAAGGTTGATGGATTCTCATTTTTTTAAGGACAAGAAGAAGAAGATGAAAATGTTAGGATCTGAAATTACTGTGAATAAACGCAGGCTTATGCTAAGCATTAAAGCTGCAAGATAAAAACAGAGGGCATTTTTACACACGCTTATACTGCAGTTCTGGGCACTTTTAAAAGTACTCAGTGCTGCAGCACATACATTTGTATAAATGTCATAATGCATGTCAGCACTGAGAAAATGACAGCAATGAGCTTTTGAACTAAAACACATTGAAGGTCTTTTAGTTCAAAAGCACACCACTGCCATTTTCTTAGCACAGATGCTCATCTCGCCATTTATACAATCTCATGTGATGCAGTACTGGGCAGGTGCAAAGCAGACTCGATTAATCGCATCTTCTCCAATGTGCTGTAACTTTGGTGTGTCAGAGCAGACAAATGTATGTATATAAATGCCCAGAGATTCTATTCAATTATTTCCTTCAAGTTATTGGCCTTGACAATTTATTTCTAGGCTATATGTAGTACTACCTGTGATAATGACTTTAGTTTTTAAAAAATGTAGAGAGTTTAGTCATTTAGGATTCATTACAGAGTTAGTACAACAGTTAATTGACCTTCTGCATCTCTCAGAACCAGCGGTGCTGTCTACTGATGTTCATGAAATATTGTAAATAAACTATACTTTCATTCTATTTTACAGTTCACTATCTCTCATGGCTAAAGTTCACAGTTGTCTTACTGTTGACCTTTAGAATCTGCTAAATTTATGTGTGAGACATTACACTTGGATTGATCCAATTAGGGTGTGATAGGTCTAAGTGCCAAACTGTACACAAGTTCAGGAGGTTAGAGTGGGCAGAAAATGGCCACCCAATCTATCTTAATTCACTGATGTGAGAATCTTACATTTTGATCAACCTAACTAGGGCTAGGGTGATCTAAGTGGCATAGAGTAGAGGAGTTCAGGAAGGTCAGGTCAGTCAAAAAACATCTGGCTTCATATAACTTTAGTTCACCTAGGAGTTGCACTTCTTTCATATAGTGTCAAATATCAACTTCCAAATCTATGAGCCACTGTTTGGTATTGTTTCTTAATGTGTGGATTCCATCTACCCTGCTTGGCATTTGTAAAGACTGCAGTTTTCAATTAAGTGCTGTGCTGTTTGTCAGCTGCTGCATTTACACAGGGGGCTGTCTAAGATGTTCATTTTGTGAAGTGTTGTTTTGAAGTGTCCTTATTCAGATATCAGTCTGTTCAGCTCGACCCGTGCTTCTGTCAAGGTCATGCCCAATGGGGTACTCGTTTGATGTTGGTATAAAATGCTGTAGGAGTAGATCTGACCTTTCCCAGCACTTGGCACCCTGTAACTGCCCATCATAGATTTGGTTCAATATCCTCAATCCCTTTCAGGGGCTTCTGAGCTCATATACAGATGGTTTATGACTTCTGAGCCTTTTAAGCCTCCATCTTTTGGGTCTTCGGTTAACAGTTGTTGGAGCCAGGTGATTTTCATCATCTCTTGCCTCTGTTGACAGTAATGATGTTAGGGTCTGTCATTTTATATCACTTGGCCTAATGCCAGAGAGTACAGGGAGTGTGTGTGTGTGCATGTGAGTGTGTCCACAAGTTGTGCAACCATTTATGAATCTCAGTGAAACTTAAGAACAGTGTTGGGCTTTTTAGTGTGACAACTTCTGGACCATACAGGAGCACAGTATTCTGGTGGGGTATATACCATTGCAAGTGCAGTGTTTCTTTGAAATTGGCACCCCATGTTGTGCTGGCTAAACATCTACCCATTCGGAGACTTTAATGCTGTCCTTCTGAATGTGAGGTTTATAGGTGAGAAAAAGTTCTAATGTGACTCCTAGGTAGGAGGGTTATGCTCATGGAGAAGGTTGTGGTTGCTTACTTGGATATTCAGCATGCTTTTGGCTCAACAATTGTCTGGGTAGAAGACTGATGATACTAATTTATTGATTCTCAACTTTAAACACCACTTGTGGAGATAGTCGGTGTTGAGTTCCATGTCAGCATTCAGTGTCTTTTCCAGTTCTGTTATGTCTGTTCCTTGAGCAACTATGGCAACATTGTCAGTGTACATGTATCGCTTAGATATAGTATGCAGGAAGTCTGAGGTATATGCATTGAAAAGCATTGGTGCTAGAACTGACCTTTGGGAGATACCATTCTTTAGATTTCATACTCTATATTTTTTCCTCCTTGGCTGGTAGAAAATTTAAATGATCTCCAGCAGATCGTTACATTCATGATGAAACTGTATAGCTTGCATTCAGGTATCTTAGAGTGCAGTTTATATTTGAGACCTTGACGCCATATAGTGTCATAGGTGGCTGTGAGATTGATAAAGACTGCACCTGTTTTCTGCCTCATTTTAAATCAATTTTCTATGTCAGATGCAAGTAGTGCAACTTGATCAGTGGTACACAGTTTTTCTGAATGCCAACTTGTTCTTTTGGGAGCTGGGGATCAATAACATTCTCTGTTCTGTTCAGGATAATGCTTTCCATGAGTTTATATGTAATGCAGAGTAGTGAGACGGGTCAGTAGTAGGGCTGTGTAAAGTGGCTAGTATTTACTTTAGATTCAGATTCAGCCGATTCAGGGGACCGTGATTCAATTTAGTGATTCGAATCAATGTCCCAAATCAATTCTGCTGAATCTGATTCAGAGATTTGGCCACTACTGAATCTCTGAATCGGCCCCATCCCCCACTGGCTTTCCTAGCCCCATCAATGGCTACCCTGCCTAGGCCCAGCTCCTGGCTCTGAAAAAAAAAAAGCCCCGATTCATCAGCTGCTGCCAGATATGGGGTTGATCCCTGCTGCCCCATGCTGTGTGCATGCCATGAGCTCCCCAACCTCCTCCTACTCTCCCAGCCCTCCCTATGGTTGCCCCACCCACGTCGGCTCCCAGCTTTTGAAAAACAAAAAGCCCCGCACTCACCTCCTGCCAGGCAGATGGCAATCCCCACTGCCCTGCACTGCATAGGGGGGCTCTGCCATGAGCCCCCAGAAGCCCTGAGGCTGCTGCAGCAGCCAGGGAGTGGTTTTTTTTGTTTGTTTTGTATTTTAAAGAGCTAGGGCTGGGTGGGGCAGGCATGGGGGCAATGGGTGAGCAAGCGCATGTTGAGGGGCACTCAGGAGTTCTGGTGGAGCAGGAAGGGGATCGGGCCTGGCAGGGGTCCCCCCCGGTCCCCTCTCCCCTCTTCCAGCCCCGACTCCCTTGTCCCCTCCTTACCAGGACTTCCCAAATCTCTGAAGCTCTCTGAATATTTTCCAAATCAATTCAGAGAGCTTTGAATTGACTCATACTTTTTAATTGGTCTCCTCATTCAATTTGGATTCAGAGATTCAGCCATCAAATTGAGCTGAATCTCCTCTGAATCGAATCAGCACCTGACGCGTCGCACAGCCCTAGTCAGTAGCTCTTTGGATCCTCTGGTGGTTTGTTGGGTTTCAAGATAGAAATTGTCAGCTTTTCATTGCTATTGTTTTAGCCCCCCAAACCTCTTTTTTATGCTTTTTTTCTTTTAATTTTACAGATTTATTATGCAGTAAGTTGCCAATAGTCAAGTATGTGGTTTATATTTCTTTTTTCTATATGCGGGGAATGTAATGTATTGATATATTGTACAGAAGGGTTCTTGCTATGCTGTAGCGTAACTACAGCAGCTTGACCAGGGAAGTCATTCTGAATGCCGACTTGAAGGGCGGGGACAGAGGAAGGCACACAGGGAAAAAAATGCTGCCACCACAGTTGTACAGCTAGAAGTTGCTGCTACCCCTGTGTGTCACATCTACTCCAAGTGCCTGGCTGTTGCACCTCTGTTGCTCTTTCAGCTTCCTGCGGGCCTGAAAACTATTTTTATGAGCTCTCAGTCATAGCTAGATAGTATTCTGAATGGTTTGAAATATGCAGATTTTTACTGGAGTGGAGAGCTGCAGGTTTAAGGTCATTTTCTGCTGAGAAAATGAACAACTATTATTGTTAATGCTTCTATCCTGTATAGTGTAAAATAATGTTAAATTCTGTACCAGGATAGATTTTTACAGCAGGCTATTTTTTCTTTCTCTATATATTGACTTTCTTGGTGTCATGTTGCTGAAACTCTGAAAAGACTAGTCTGGGAGAACTGAAATTACAATAGTAATCTTGTCTGCATATACAGTAGGAGTAACAGCTGCACTTAAAGCAGCTGTTAAGGTGATTGGAGCCTGGAGTATCCAAGCTTTATGTTAGGTCTTCTTTATCTTGCAATTTGAATGCTCTAAAAATTCTGTAATAATATTTTTTAGTCAGACATGTTCATTCTACTCAGACCAAAAAGTAATAATTTGGTGCAAATTGTGTCTGTGTTGGGGGGTGGGGGGAGGAGGTTGATTTGGTTTTGTTCTAGATACCCTCCCCCTTCCCAAATGCTGTCCCATTTGATACTCAACCTTTCAGAAATAATTAATGTGTAGTGTCTTCTACTTCAGAACATTTACATTGTAACAACAGTCATAAGATTCAATTGTTGCCATAGATCTGGAACCAAGATAAGAAGTGTCAAATATACTAGACTGCAAGAAAGAAATAGTTAATGGTATATTCCATTCTTTCTCTATGTACAATCAGCTCCTCACTTAACTAACCAGACAGAGCAATAAAAAGAAAAGTGCACAGTAAGTCAAGACACTGAACATACAGAGTCGTTTAAAGGAAGTGTACAAATATATAAAGTATAGTACATTTAGAAAGTGGTATAGTAGTTTTATTTCATTACTTTTCTTTGCTTGTTATAATGTTTTTCAGATATCAGTGTATAAGTTAAGTATTTACATGTATCAGCCCTTTCAAAAACTTAACTTTCACAGTATGTGTTATGAAAACATATTTTCTTTCAACTGTTTCAACTGTAGA